CCCCAGAACAAAACCATTGCCATTGAGTCGATTCTGACTCACAGTGACCCTACAGGACGGAGTAGAACTGCCCCATAGAGTTTTCAAGACTCCAATCTTTACTGAAGCAGATTGCCACACTTTTCTCCTGCGGAGCAGCTGGTGGGTTTGAATCACCTAACTTTTCAGTTAGCAAAGGAGTGCTTAACCACTCTGCGCCACCAGGGCTCCTTCAACTGTCTAAAGAGGGTGACTTTTTCTAACTCTCACAAGGCATCACTGTTATAGCAGTTGGCTCTGAAGATGTATCTACGATCCTCTAGGCTAACCTGTTTGGACTGAATTAATTAAACTGTCCTTACAATCCAATCTGGTTTACAGCCTATGCTATAAGCCAGTAGTTCTTAAATGTTAGAGAGCATCAGAACCAGCTGGAGGGCTTCGTAAAACACAGATTGCTGGGGTACACTCCCAGAGTTTCTTAGTCAGTAGGTCTGGAGTGGGTGACACAGTGGTTAAGAGCTTGGCTGCTAACCAAAAGGTCAGCAGTTTGAATCCACTAACCACTCCTTGGAAACCTTATGGGGCAGTTCTACTCTGTCCTATAGGCTCGCTTGAGTTGGAATCGACTCAATGGCAACAGTTTTGATTTTGGAGCTGGGCCAGAGAATTTACATTTCTAGCAAGTTCCCAGATGATGCTGATGTTGCTGCTCTGGGACCTCTCTTTGAGAACCAGGCAACGGTTTCTTTACTTTGAATCATTTCCATGCTTATTAATGAGAGCCTCACTGCCCTGTATAGACCAGGGAAAAAGAAGCAATGTCACGTACCCAAAACAGAAGGGCTACGCTGGTGGACACTTGGCTTCAGTTACAGTGACATACCCGTTTACCCAAAAAGCCTATGAGGTTTCTAGCATTACCTCAGAATAAGGGGCTGAGAAGACACTGTGGGCAGGGGCCATTTCCACACATTTGGTGGAGTTTTGAGTGTCTGCATCTGTTGGAATGAGGGAGCCACTGTTTTCCTTTCTAGCAGCTCAGCTGGGGGTGATGGTGCCAGCAGGTGGTTCTCAGATCCCTTGCTGCTTGAAAAGACTGCTTGTTTTGGTTGGGGCTATGATTGTGTTTATAGGGGGTGGAGACACACTCTGGGGAGTACTCTGAGGAGTAAAGGCGCCCTATGCTCTACATTCACTAAACCACACGCCGTTTTTTCTGCACTCAGATACAGAAGGCTTTTTGGTCAATAGACTCTTGAGTTGTTCACTGCCGCCCTAGTCCATCTAAGTAAACAGGGAGGTGCTCTCTTCTAAAGGAGTCCCTGGGTGGTGCAAACAGTTAATGCACTCAGCTGCTAATTGAAAAGTTGGTGGTTCCAGCCCACCCAGAGGCACCTTGGAAGGAAGGCCTGGTGATCTACTTTTGAAAAATTGGCCATTGAAAATCCTGTGGAGCACAGTTCTACTCTGACACACATGGGGTTGCCCTAAGTTGGAACTGACTCAATGGCAACTGGTTTGGGTTCTTCTCTTCTTGAAGGTCTCCAGGAAGGAAGACCTTCAGTCTCCTTTGATGCATTACTCTAGCTTTGGGACTTGTAATAGTATGAGAATTCCTTTTTTTTTTTATGATGGTGGGGGACAAAACGTCCTTAATTCTCTTCCTCGCCCTGGGCTCAGCTGAGCTAGAAAAGAGCCAGCCCCCAACCCCTGTACCCCTGCTTTCACTTACTAGATGCCCTTCCACCCCCTACATCTTTTTTCTTTCTATATCCTGTCTCTCATCAAACCCTCTTTTCTGATTAACAGACTTGCAGTGTTTGGTCCCTTTTTATCAGACCCTGGCTACCCTTTTAGATGTTGCCTCTCTGAGAAGTCCTCTCTGACATTCTGACACTATACAGAAATCCATTAAAGTGGCCTGTCTCTTGGTCTTCAAAGTGGCACATTTTTGGCCTTTCAGGTCCCTGTCCTCTTGCCAAACTTCTAATAAGTTGAGCCTATTATTGTTGAATATCCTGTTGATAGTCGCCTGGTATTGGTGGCAAGGAATCCCCAAGCTCAGAGGAGAGACCAATAGTTCCTACCCTTTTTTGGGGGGGTTTGTGTTTCCTTTGAGAATCTGATTAATGCACCCCAGAAGAACAACCAGAAAGATCTGTTTTAGGATTGGGGGAACTAATCACTTCCCTGGGGAAGTAATCAAAGGACACTGCCATCCACCTGCCTCATGGGAAACAAGTGCAAACGGCCTGGTTTTGGGAGGACTTTAGGAGCCCTGGTGGCACAGCAGTTAAAGCACTTGGCTGCTAACTGAAAGGTTGGCAGTTTGAACCCACCAGTCGCTCCACGGAAGAAAGATGTGGCAGTCTGCTCTGTAAGGATTTACCGTCTTGGAAACCTTATTGGGCAGTTCTACGCTGTCCTTACAGGGTCGCTATGAGCTAGAATCGACTCAACGACAGTGGGTTTGGTGGCTTTGGTGGGAGAACTCTATGAGAATGTGGCCTGATGGTGTACTTGCTGCAGGAGAGAGCAGCATACTGGGTGTGGCGTGAGAGATGCTCTTCTGAAGGTCTGCATTTGGACAAACCTAAAAAGACGCATTTACTCTTAAAAGGTGCAGATTGGGAAAAACTGCAAAAAACAAACCCAAAGCCTGTAGCTTACAGAACCATGCCTTTTTTTGTTTGCTGACTTTTTTTTTTTAAAGTACTATGTCTTTTAAAATGTGGCTCAGAAACAATCTTAATGACATTCACTGTCTTTGCCCATTTAGCCCAACATAGCCTTTTACTTTAAATTTGATGCCTTCTGCTAAGAAGAGGGAAGGAATCCACGGAACAATGACAGAAGAGCACCAAAATGTAATCTAGGTTACACTCAGAACAAATTCAATGTGACTTAGGAAAAGGCCAAGGAGGAGGGAATTTCATTAGACAATCAACATGAAAATCGGATCTAACCTAAGTCCCCAACTGGGTGTATTCATTTCTGTTTATAGTTGAGGATACTAGCCCTCTGAGGATTGATTCTGTGAATGCAGAGGATTTGAGCGGAGGAAAAGCAATAGTGCTGAGGATCTGGAAAGGGGGGTCCATTCATCATGGGATGAAGTATAGCTTGGTTCTATTTACTGGAAATGTGTAGAACTTGTTTAACTCTTCCCAAATCATGAGAAAAAGCTAGAACAATGGTCCCAGTTAGGATTAACAGGGCATCTATGCCTCTGCCCTTGAATTCTTGCAGAAATCTGTTTTTGGTGATGGATTGTTTCCAGTGTTCTCTGAATCAACCAAAACACTGCTTTCACTTGATATGATGCTTCAGAGAGCTTTGATCTTGAATTGAAGGTTGGGATAAAGTAGGATGGGTTTGAAACCCATTAAATATAGAGAATTATGAAGTATCAAGCATGCAAGCATAAAATACACTGAGGTCCTACTTGGTCACTATCTCTGTGGTTATTTTAGACCAAGCTTCTATAATTCCGCTCTTCTTCATTATGTTCTGCAGAGGGGAAGCCCTGTACTGCTGTCCAGTTGAAGCCAGATGGACTGAAATCCCAAATCAACATGTTATGAAGTTGTTCGACAAGTTATTTTTGGGGAAATTGACTTACCATACCACTCATCAACCCATGCAAAAGCCTGTCTATGCCCAATCAGCAGAATGTCTCGGACCACCTAAAAAGTAAAAGAAGGAGGGTGAAACAATACCACGTTAGACTAAAACCATCTGGAAAATAGGCTGCTTCAATTCTGGGAATCCTGGTGGTTCCAAATTTCTCAATCCCTTCTCCATATGCGATGACAATACAGGCTAATATACACAGATACTGAGCTTGCTCACACTCAGCCCTTTCCATGGCATGCATGCACTTGCTATAAATTAATCTCTTAGTTTTATTTGAGAGTCAGGCCGGGGGTGTGTGCAACCTAATGCCAACTGTTTGGTCGTCACACAGCCATGGAACTAATCTCTAGGCTAATCACCTTGAGACTTTTTTTTTCATTTATCTTTAACTAAAACAGCTTCTACTTTTTATTTGATGAAGGGTGTGTCTCATGGATGCCAGGAGGTCATAGGTGTTGGAAATCAAGAACACACTTTTTGGAGCAGCAAGTTACTTCTAAGCAAAGAACACTTAACATACTCTCTCTTCTCTGATGAAACATTCTAAAAATTGGTTAATTTTTATTTTTTAAAATGGAAGTGTGAATACAAGATAAAATCTCAGTAAATATCCTTCTAGGCTTAACTTTCATGTACTACTATGAATATTAGTGTAATACATGAATTATAAATATCATTTCATGTAATAATAGTTTAGTCAACAATTATTAAAAGAGATGAAATAAGAGACTTGAACTAGAATAGAACATAATGAGATTTATAAGCCTGACTGGAGAGGAAAAGGAATGAAATTATTTCTCATGGCAGCACATATTGGCAACAGAAGACTAAGAAAGATAATATATACAGTCCTGTGTGTATGTATTATACTATTCATGTGCTTTTAAATAACAGCATAGTTAACAGGTATTTCACGGTATTCTATTTTGTCCTATATAAATATGCCTTTTTTTTAATGTTCCTCAGATACTCACAGTCTCCCTCCAACATTCCTTTTTTTTCCTGCCAAACAAATCTAGCAATTGTCAAAAACCTCTCATGGAAGGTTCAAGAATGTTTCAATAAATGAAGGATTTTAATCTGGCGAATTTGAAGAAACAAGGAAAGCATTTATAATGAAGTGTTTATTATTCCAGGCCTCTGGATATCTACTGAGGCTTTTATGATTTGGAAGGAGAAAACATATGTAATGAAAATGAGAAACAACATACAGCCATACACACTTGAGTGCTGAGTATGTCAAATTCATGGAAATCAAAAGAACAACATCGAGGCATCAGTAAATATACCCTACTACATTAAGCACAGCACAGCTGTCTGCTGGAAACAAGAATTCAATAATGTGCTAATGGCTGGCTTTCAAACATTTTTTCTCCTTAACTGTGAATAGATTCTTAAAAAACAAAGGTGTTTAGAGAAAGACATCCCCAGCACTTGCCATCCATGCAAATGCTAGCCTCAGATACTCATTAGGGACTCATGTGCCACAGCAGGTGTGTTTTTGAGGGTGTTGATAACACTTCATTATATTTGGAAATGGGCAATGGGAATGCCTCTTATAAGAGAATGATTCTTACAGGTATTTTAAAGAAGATAACAGAATTTCAAAACTGGCCAAAGTCACCTGTGAGAAAAGAAAAAAAAAAAAAAAAGAACTCTGGGGCAGTCTAAATGTGCTTTGTAAAGGGAAATAGTAAAACACATTATGTGAGTGGCCCTAATAAAGGAGGTCATTTTGGGTCAAAAATGTGCAAAAAAAAAAAAAAGATGTTGTGGGAAGTCAACGAAGATACAGTCTTAGACAGACATAGTGCTGAGGCTGGGAAATATTTACTCTGGGAACCCTTACTGTCTTCCTGCCTAATGACCGGGAGAGCAGGAAAACAGGAGGTCTGAGAACTTGATTTCTATGTTTCTCATTCCATGCCACCCCTGGATGAATGGAATGGGTTCTGGAGCTCAGCAGAGGATCTGCATATTTCTCTGTTAAAAAAACAAAAACCAGTGCTCTCAAATTCCTTCTAGAGTCTGTTGTTACTACGAGTCCAAGTTGCAAAGGTTCCTGAGACTGGCAACCTATTCTTGGGATGCAAACTTAAGACCTATACTTTTACCTCTTTTTTTTTATATTTTATTGTACTTCAGGTGAAGGCTTACAGAACAAATAGTTTCTCATGAAACAGTACTACACATGTTGTTTTATGACATTGGTTAACAACCCCACAACATATTAACCCTCTAACTTCTCAACCTTTTTTTTTTGGTGAAAATACACATAGCCAAAGATACACCGTTTCAAAAATTTCTACATGCACAGTTCAGTGACATTGACTATGCTCTTCCAATTGTGCTGTTATTCTCACTTAAGATGAAGACTTACAGAACAAAATAGTTTCTCATTTAACAGTTACTACACATGTTGCCCTATGACAGTGGTTAACAATCTCACAACACATCAACAATATCCTTACTTAACCTTGGGTTCCCTATCACCAGCTTCCTTGTCCCCTTCTGCCTTCTGGCCCTTGTCACTGGACTCCTGTACCTCGTTAGTCCCATTTGGTTTTACGGGGCTGTCCACTCCCAGGCTGAACAGTGAACCTCGGAGGTAGCTTCACCACTGAGCTAAAAGGGTGTCTGGGGGCCATACTCTCAGGGTTTCTCCAGTCTCCTTTAGGCCAGTAAATCTGGTTAAGACCTATACTTTTGATTATCAACTGGCCTCCAAACCCAGTAGGAAAATCCAAGTTACAAAGCACTCAGTGTGTTAAGGTTAAATTCCAGTGCCTCCCAAAGAACTTCAGAAAGCTACTCTTTATCAGTTTTTAAGTGGAAAAATAAACAGATACATTCGCCTATCTGGAATGTAGAGACAACTTGGGCAGTATTTATTTTTATGAAAATAGGAGGAGCTACGAAGGACAGTTGTTTAACACTGCATTTCCAATTTTTTTCCCACAAGGATAAGTTAAGTGTTATGTTAGAATCCCCTAAAACTTAAATTACCACCAAGTGGGTTCCTGTTGCAAAGTTAAAACGTTTAGCCCAAGTGGATATTACAGTTGAAATCTGTGTTTTGAGGTTGTTGATGACAATTCTTTGGTAACAGGATTATTAAATGAGCAGAAATGCTGAAGTGCATGGTCTAATGCGACTCCTGGGATTTCTTGCTCTGTCTCTTGGGGTCATCTTTACCTTAGGTGCTTACATTTGCAGCATCTTTTGAGTGAGAATTATCCTTGGGGGCTGTGCACACAGATGAGCCTTCTGGCCTCTTCCCAAGTATCTCTGCCTTGAACTAGATTAGCCTGATGCCAACGTGAGATGTATGTTTCAAAAGCCAATTTCTCAAATATACTCACCCAAAAGATACGGAGACCACAGAATGAGAGATGAAGTGTGAAACATCTACTAGCGAAAGTAAATTAAATAAACCTGTTCATAAAGTGTATTTTCATCAAAAATGTGTTTTCTAGATGCAGATACCTTCGCATTTGTTGTGCATCCTGCACTCAGGCTTTTCTTTAACAAGAAAGACCGTTACAGTCAATCCTCATTATTTGCAGATTCCATGTTTGCAAACTCGCCTATTCTCTAAAAATATTCCTGGGCGCTTTTACAGGTCACAGACACTCTCGCGCAGAGCAGTAAAAATGTCCCAGCTAAGGCTGAACGAGGCTGGTTCCGTTGTCACGAAATCAGTGTTCACCAGGAATTTCTAAAACACAACTACGACGAATAACGAAAATCGACTGCATGTTGTTCCAACTCTACTGTGAGTGCACAGCCCAGGAGCTGACGTTTGTTCACTTACCTTGTGTACAAATTGTTCCACTCTGGTCTGAAGCCCCCAGACCTCGAACTTCACTGTCACCAGCTTGTAGGAGCACATGATGGGCTGATGACTGTCCCTCCAGCCTTCCCTTAATTGTCCCCGTCCTGTCTTCTCTGACTTGAAGTGTTTAGGATCCTAGGGAAAAAATATCAAAGAAATGGTAACTTAAAAGCGCCATCATTTATATGAAATGTCCAGAACAAGCAAATTCAGAGACAGAAAATAGATTAGCGGTCACCAGGGGCTGGGGCAATCTTGTTGTGATTTTGGAGTGATTGCTAACGGGTACAATCTTACTTATTAGGATGATGAAAATATTCTAGAATTAGATAGTATGTGGTTGCAAAATCCTGTGACTATGCTAAAATCACTTAATTGTACACTTTAAAAGAACGAATTTTATGGTAGGTGAATTATATCTCAATTAAAATAAGAGATTACAATGTAAATAAGTGGAAAAAAGGTAGTTCATCTATTTAAATGTCAAAAAAGTGGTTTCAAGCTAAATTTGTGACATTGCTTTCTGTTTTTTTCTTCTTGATCTTGGAGTTAATACACTTCACACAATTAAAAAAAAAGTCCAATCAATACATGGGAATGTAAATTGGTTCAACAACTTTAGGCAATTGTTCAGCAGTATCTACAAAACCAAGCATATGCCTACCTATGTCCCAGCAATTGTAATTCTGGTTGAAATGAGAACATATGTCTACCTCAAGACTATACTGGAATATGTACAGCAGGTTTAATCATAATAGGCAAAAACTAGAATCAGTGCAAATGTTCACCAGCAGGAAAACAGATTAAATAAATTATACATCCACACAATGGAATATTACACAGCAATGAAAAAGAACAAGCTGCTGATGCATGCAAGGACATGCAAGACTCTCACAAATATTATGTTGAGTAAAATTAGCCAGACACAATAGTGTACATACTGTATAATTCCAACTGATGTTTAAGAACAAGAAAAACTTATCTATGGTGATAAAAGTTAGACTAGCAGTAACCTCTAGGGAGGAGTTGACTTTGAAGGGACATGAGGGAAACTTCTAGGATGATGGGCATGTTTTACATGTTGATCTGGATATAATTTGTAAAAATTCATCAAGCTATACATAAGATTTGTGTTATATCCTGATTTAAAAACATAAAAAGTTTAAAAAAAAGATTAAAACGTGTTTAACCAGTTGATACCTCCTCGATAATTGCCATGTGGAAATCAGCCACTAATTATTTTACTAGAGGATTATTTTTTCAGGGATACCTTAAAAGGAACGTGTCAAATAAAAAAGTAGAAAAAAGCCCGTAATCATGTTGAAAAATGTACACATATGAACTTCATCAAAATTAAAAAACTTTGTACATCAAAGAACTTTATTAAGAAAGTAAACAGACAACCTACAGAATGGGAGAAAATATTTGGAAAACATATATCTGATAAAGTATATATAAATAACTCCTACAACTCAACAATAAAAAAACAAACAACCCAATCAAAAAATGGACAATACATATTTCTTCAAGGAAGGTATAAAAATGACCGATAAGCACATGAAAAGATGCTCAAAGTCATTAGTCATCAAGGAGATACCACTTCACATCCACTAGGATGGCTATTATCAGAAAAACAGAAAGTAACAAGCATTGATGAAGATGTGGAGAAATTAGAACTCTCATCCACTGCTAGGGGCAATGTAAAATGGTACAGCCAATGTGGAAAACATTTTGGCAGTTCCTCAAAAAGCTAAACATAGAATTACCATATAATCCACCAATTCCACTCCTAGGTATATACCCAAAAGAACTGACAGCAGGGACTCAAACAGATCCTTGTACACCAATGTTCATTGCAGCATTATTCACAATAGCCAAAAGATGAAAACAACCCAAGTGTCCATCAACCAAAAACCCAAACCAAACCTGTTGCTGTTGAGTCGATTCCGACTCATAGCGAGCCTGTAGGACAGAGTAGAACTACTCCATAGAGTTTCCAAGGAGCACCTGGTGGATTCGAACTGCTGACCTTTTGGTCAGCAGCTGTAGCACTTAACCACTATGCCACCAGTGTTTCCTGTCTATCAACAGATGAATGGATAGACAAAATGTGGTATATGCATACAATGGAATATCGTTCGGCCATAAAGGGAAATAAAGTTCTGATACATGCTACCATATGGATGAACTTTGAAAACATTATGCTAAGTGAAAGAAGTCAGACACAAAAGGACAAATATTGTATGGTCTCACTTACATGAAATATCTAGAATAGGAAAATGCATAGAGACCAAAGTTTATTAGTGGTTACCAGGAGTGGTGAGGTGAGGGGAATGAGGAATTATTACTTAAGGGGTACTGAGTGCCTTAGGTATTTAGTGCTGCTGTAACAGAAATACCACAAGTGGGTGGCTTTAACAAATAGAAGTTTATTTTCTCAGTTTGCTGTTGTTGTTGTTAGACGCTGTCGAGTTGGTTCACAGTTTAGGAGGCTAGAAGTCTGAATACAGGTACCGGCTCTAGGGGAAGGCTTTCTCTCTCTGTTGGCTCTGAGGGAAGGTCCTTATCTCTTCGGCTTCTGTTTCCTGGTTCCTTGGAGATCTCCATGTGGCTTGGCATCTATTTTCCCTCATCTATGGAGCACTGGTGGTGCAGTGGTTAAGTGATACGGCTGTTAACCAAAAGGTCAGCAGTTCAAATCCACCAGCCTCTCCTTGGAAACCCTATGGGGCAGTTCTACTCTGTCCTCTAGGGTCGCTATGGGTCAGAATCGACTCTACCGCAACGGGTATGCTTGCTTAGGAGTGCTGGTGGCGCAGTGGTTTAAGCACTGGACTGATCACCAAAAAGATCGGCAGTTCGAATCCACCAGCTGTTCCTTGGAAACTCCGAGGAGCAGTTCTACTCTGTCCTATAGGGTCACTATGAGTCGAAATCAACTCAACGGGAACAGGTTTGGTTTTTTTTGGTATGTTTGCTTAATCTGCTCCTTTTATATCTTGTAAAAGATTGACTCAAAACATACCCTACACTAACTCTGCTTCAGTAACATAACAAAGACAACTCATTCCCAAAGGGGATTATAAGCACAGCCATAGAGGTTAGGATTTACAACACATGTTTTTGGGGGACACAATTCAATCTATAACATTACACCCTTTGGCCCCCCAAAATTCAGGTCCTTGCCACATATAAAACACATTCACCCCATCACATCACCCCAAAAGTCTTAAATCAACTCCAAATCCAAAATCTCGTCTTCTGAATCATCTAAATCAAATATGGGTGAGACTTCAGGCACATTTCATCTGGGGCAAAATTCCTCTTCATCGGTGAGCCTGTGAAGTCTAGACTACAAGTTACCCATTTCCAAAGTAGAATGGTGGAACAGGTGCAAGGCAGACATTTTCACTACAAATGGCAGAAATTGGAGGAAAGATAACGGGCACCAATCAAGTCCCAAACCCAGCAGAACAATTTACATTAGCTCTCAAGGCTTGAAAATAATCCTCTGTTCCTTGGGACCATCTGGAAAACAGCTCTGCTCTCTACATTCTAGGTGTTGGCCATGTCTGCTGGATTCTGGGTGGAGACCCCTTGGCCCTGGGCTTCAGCTCTGCCTTCCAGGACCACTGGAATGGCAACTCTGGTCCCTCGGCTTGGGTGACTCCATTCTCCTAGTCTGTCAGGCAACCCCACCCCCTTGGCCCTGGCAGTTCTTCTGCCTCTTGGGCATGGCAGCCCCTCTCCCTCAGCCTTGAGCAGTGGCCCCATCCCCCTGGCACTCATGAACAGCAGCCACACTCCGGAATCGAGTTGGTGAAGATCTGACTCTTTTAAACCTAGAAGGCCATGACTCCACCCTTTCCAACCAAGAAGGCCCTGCTTCCAGTGCTCCTTCCGATAGTTCTGCTGAGATCCGAGCTGCTCCAGAGATGGTCCTTTTCTCTTCTTGGAGTATAACAGATGTAGCTCCTTTGTCTTATTTACTGCCTGTAGAATTTCAAGAGGCAGGCAGCATTCTTTCCTTTCATTCCTCCTCTGTCCCCTTCAGTCTAGGCTGATGGGTTTTCTGCTGTGGTAGTTGTTTAGATCCATCAGTCACAGGCTTAATCTCTTTAACAAAAGATTGTGTAGCCACATCCTTGGTGAAAATTCTAGGACATGTGTCCTTAGTTTGTTCAACAGAATTTTCTAAATCTTTAAGTTTTGTTTTCATTTTGCACAGTTCATTTTTAAGTCCATCTCTTTCCTCTTGTATTTTACTGTAAGTGGAAAGGAGAAACCACGTGACCCCTTTAAGATCTTGTTCAGAAATCTCCTCAGCCAAATATCCCAGCTCATCACTTACAAGTTCTTCCTTCCACCAAACATTTGAACATAATTCAGACAAGTTCTTTGCCACTGCAAAAAGCATCGCCCTTCCTCCAATGCCCAGTCACATGTTCATCATTTCCTTTAAAGCCTCACCAGAAGCACATTTAACGTCCACATTTCTAGCAACATTCTGTTGCTGGCGCCATATGTATTCTCTAAGACGACAGAGACTTTCTCTATGGCTCTCCTCACTTCCTTTGGTGCCCTCACCAGAATTGCCTTGGACGTCCATAATTCTAACAGTTTCTTCAAAGCTTTTTTACTGTTAAACCAAAAACCAAACCCACTGCCATCAAGTCAATTTCGACTCACAGCAACCCTATACTATTACTATCAGTCACCTTAAAACTCCTCCAGCCTCTACCCATTACCCAATTCCAAAACCACTTCCACATAGTAGGTATTTGTTAGAGCAGCACCCCCACTTCTTGGTACCAAATTCTTAGTTATTTAGTGCTGCTATAACAGAAATACAAGTAGACAATCTTAACAAACAAATTTATTTCTGTTTAGGATGATGGAAGAGTTAGATACAGATAGTGGTTGTACAACATGGTGAACTTCATTAATGTCACTGAATTGTACATGTAAAAATGGTTAAAATGGCAAATGTTTTGTTATATATATCCAACCACAATAACAAATTAAAAAAAAAAAAGATAAACCTTTAAAACATGTAAGTGAAAGAACCCAGTCACCAAAGGCCACACTGTATGATTATATTTATATGAAATGTCCTCAACAGGCAAATCCATAGA